CCAGTTAAGCTGACACTCTCTGCACCGATGGTGCATCGGGTCCACTCACCACTGTGTAGCCTTTCCCCGGAGAAGACTCCATTATTCCAGGACGTCCACTCCTCGCCGGTTAAGCCGGCGCTCTCTGCCGAAGCATCGGATCCAGGCTAATTAGCATCCCCGGAGAAGCCCCGTTGTTTCAGGGGCCACTCCTCGCCGGTAAGGCCAGCGATCCCTGCCCGACGCCTGGCATCGGGTCCGCTAATCCCTACCTATAGCCCTAACACTGTTTCGCATTTACCCAGGCCCGAAGACCTGTGGGGCAAGGAAAAAACCCTGGAATTACTCTGAAGGAAAATTCCACGGAAAAACCCGCCCCGAAACAGCCGGGGTTTCATAGGAACTTTTCCCGATGAAAACAGTTTTTGAAAAAATCTGCATTCACCCGGAATCGAACCCACGACCCCTAGAACTGCATTGTATCAGTAACAAGCACACTTACCACTGAGCCAACGCCGCTCATGCTAAAATTCATTGTTATTTGTTACAAACTGAGAGAGAAAAGTTACATTCTGTGATAAAGAAAGAGTACCAAGTTTTACCCTAAGATAAAAGGCTTTTAATTCACATGATTGCGGAATATAAATTTGATCTCTTAATTCGCGATGGATTTTAATAAATATAAGCTGAATTTTATTTTGCAAATATTAGTTTTGCGAGTTTTCTCGTTACTTAATTTGAAAGCATTTGTTTAATTCAGTTATAATACAAAATTACTCGAGAGAAATAGTCGGTAAGATAAGAAAGTTGGTATACAGGGTAGCCTTAAAAGAAAAACAGAGCGAGACATAGAGTGATTAGGAAGAATGTCTTAGAGAAGAGAGTAGTTCAAATGGTTCAGCAGAGAGAGTATGTCTGAAAGTGAAGATAGATATAGAGTTCGGAAAAATTTAAAAACAGAAAATAAATCAAACGATAAATTTGATATGAAGGCCGTGTAAGTTAATTAATGCGAAAAAAAAAAAAAAAAAAAAAGAATAAGCTGATATATAGGTAAATTTTTATGAAGTGGATACGCAGTTATAAAGAAAGGAAATAAATGGTTGTAGCAGGTAGGCTGGATATTGACTTGAATGTTATGCAAAATTGAATAGTATAAGTCGTACGATTTAATAAATCAAGTGAATAAAAATGTTGTGAAAAAAGCAATTTAAGTTATGAAGACATGAAAAACAAGAAATAATGACTACTTACGTGAAAAATCAAGCGCGAAGAAGGCATAAAAATCAAGAATAGGTTAAAAAACTGAGGCTATGGGAGGTTTAAATGGTTAATAAAAAAGATGGTAGAATAGATTTGTGAAAATTTGACCTTAAGAAAATTAATTAGATCATTGAGCAACGAAAAACGAAAAAAGAAACAGATACATGAAAGCTTTTCAGTAGTACGAGCTGAGAAGGAAAGAAGCAGATGAAAAGTACTTCAGGGTGAGATAAGGCGATTGGTTATATACATCAATACTGGTTTAGTTTAAGAAACATCCTACTTTTCAGAATTTCTGGTTTCATCAGCATTCTTTTTTTTGGAACTTATCTCACTAAATGTCATACTGATATTGTGAAAAAATTTTTAAGTTCAAGGAAAAAGTTACATTTTTTATTTTTGAAATAATACGTAACTAATCAGATTTTTTACTTTTTAGCTTAGTATCTTTATTTCCATTAAAAGCATATCTAATGATGATGCGCATGTTAAATATGTACACTCCTGTAGATACTTTAAGAATTAAAAATGACAACTATTTTGGTACGAAATTCCGTCTCCCTTTTTCCTTTGGTAGAATAATATTCAAACTCTTAAGAGTCTATGATAGTAAGCTTAGATTTGTTGCAATGCACTGCGTTAAGATGAAAAAACTGAGAAGTCAAACACAATCTTTTAAAACAAGTAGGGAAATATTACTTCTAGTCATGTTTGAAAGTAGAGTTTCCATTAAATATACACATGAAGCGTTTCCTGTCAATCCAGCCCGTCCCTTAGCACTTACATTTTAAATATTAAATCTAGTCTCACAATTTTAAGTAAAGCTATGATTTCTTATAAGGTATTACAAAAACGGAATTTAAATTTATGTTGATTAATAAGGTTTTTTAAAATGCTTACAAAAAATATTTTACTGATATTTGAAAATTTTACGATGGCAAATTTAAAATAGTAGCAAAGAGTTAGTATTCTTTAATGTTTACCAAAATAGTGTTATGACCAGACTGGTTTAGAGTATGGTCTTAAAGGTTTTATTTTACTGTAGATCGTAGGTCTCTTTGAATTCAGCTCGTAAGCTTTATTTGTTCTTCTTAGTTGGGTAAAAATCTTTTATTTAAACGATATGGATGATTTAAATTGATGTATTCTTTAATTAACACAACTTAAAATAGTTATTCTTTTAAGTAAAATTTGCTCGGATAACTTTAACAAGGTTTGGTATTAATTACATTACTGATAAATAACTTACATCTATCATTGACTATTGTTACTGCTGCTTCAGAGTTCCCTAATGCTTCATGCAGTAATTTTCAGTGGTCCCTTAAACTACACAAATGAGTTCGTGGCCAGAAAGATGTTGTAGTTTCTGCTTTCTCTGCTACAGCCAGGACTACTTTCAGCAGGCCTATTCAATTATACCTCGCTCCTTACCATAGTCTGATACTATTGACGTTCTCGAAATGCACCCGAGTTGCCTTAGCCAACACGTTATGCCTAACGTGTATAAGGTACTCGCGAGTCACAGAAGTCGAGAGTTGACTAAAATGTTACAGAACAAGAGATAGACGTAGAAAGAGCGATTTTTCCTCTTGATAGTGTTTTTTTTCATAGCATCAGAGCGAGTAGAAGAGGCCTTTGAATGAATTACGTCAACCAATAAGCGATATTCTTGCAACTGCGTTGACAATAAAACAAGAGACTTGCACGATGATGTTTCATATAATGATTTCATGTATTAAGAAATAACAATACAATAGTACCTATCTCCTTTTTTCGCCAGGTCTGATTGAGATTTTTGGATCAGTGATGATGCAAGCTCGCATTAACAATAAAAAAAACACTATTCTCAGTGAATCGTGAAAAATAAAGTTTTCAAATTTTGAAATTAATCTATTTTAATGTTTTACAATCAGTTTCGAAAGAATGTGTTAACTACAATTTTTAAATTTGTATACATTAATTAAAATGGACAATCAATAACCAAATCAACTATTTATTTATACATACAATACAAATTATGCCTACATACGTATGTTTATAACTTTTTAAATATTTTTTCACTCGTGTTGGCTATAATATTGGCTGATTGTATGTCATTTTTATAGTACGTGTGTTCAATTTCAAGGGTCTAGGATCATGCTGGGCCAAGTTGTAGCCGATTTTTCACTAAAAATCTTGCCTGTTAAATTTTTTTATAACTTTTCAAAAATTTTTTTACCCGTGTTGGCTATAATTTTGGCTAATTGTATGTCTTTAGAAGAGTACGTGTGCTAAATTTCACGGGTCTAGGATCATGCTGGGCCAAT